GGAAACGAAGCATTCCTTATAAGGGTATAGAAACATCATCCTAGTAGATGCGTCTTAAAACTGTGAAGTTGACGGCGATATGTAACGGGCCAAGGACAATATCTGCTAGTGGTGGGCTTGGGCAACAAATGGTATTAGAGATAGACACCAGGCGGTGTGCCAGCAAAGACGCTGGGCCACCAAGGGGAGTGGATTGTGAGATCTCAACTTGGTTGGAGAGAGGAACGAAGCATTCCTTATAAGGGAGTTGAAATCTCTCCCTAGTAAATGTATTTAAAACCGTGAGGCTAACAACGATACATAATGGGTCAAAGCAGACACTATCTACTAGTGGTAGATTTGAGATGTTACAAATGGTATCAGAGCTAGACACCGGACGGTGTGCTAGTGAGGACGCTGGGCCCCCTAGGAGTAGGGGTGGATTGTGAGATCCCACATTGGTTGGAGAGGGAAACGAAACATTCCTTATAAGGGTATGGAAACCTCCCTAGTAGACGCACTTTAAAACCCTGAGGCTGACGACAATACGTAACAAGCTAAAGAGAATAATATCTACTAGCGATAGGCTTGGATTGTTACACCATACAAACTTTTTGCTCGAATACCATAAACAGTACGTTCCAATTGAAAAAACAATACTTGTGCGATAAACCCTGGCATTATAAAAAAAACATCTAACTTCTTTTTGTACAGAGTAGGATCTTTTGAACGCAGGAAACTTGCAAGCAGCCACTTTGCAATTGGTTTTTTCATAGAAATCTCATAAGAACAGTACTTAAAATGAAGATTAAAGGCCATAAAAGCTCCCTGACTAGCGACCAAAAGAGGAAAAGTTTTGAAATGATGATGTTAGCCCAGACAGAGGCTTTTAACAGATGCCGTTCTACTACTACGATAGATTTCGTAACAATAAGCTAATAACAAACATATGATAAGAGAAAAAAACGGATAAGAAAATGAAAATACTTAAACATTGATAAAACATAGCGATTTTTTTAATACCTACTAGTGTGGGAGCAGGAACAACTATGGTTTGAGGCACATTTCTCGGGGGTGTTGACTCGACTTGGACAATTGGAGAGCCAGCCAACTTTCCGGGAACCTTTGTTGTCTTTGCTCTGATAGCATATCGCCTATTCTGGAACCAATTCCAAACCTACAAAATAACAATAATAATCAGTAAAACGCCATTACCTATCATATAAACGTCAAGTACGGCCACCATACTTGCTTCATTTGCACAGCAATCTTCCCTTTCCGTTCAACCGATTCACTACAAAGAACACAAACAAATTATTCTCTACCCAAAAAGAGCAATTCAAATCATATAGAAGTCATAGTAAGCAATGTAGAATGTCCACCTGAACTTCCCAGCAAGAGAAACCAGAACTTCCCGAGACGGCATGGTATTATTGTGTCCTTGCAGTATAGCCTCCATCTCCGCAACCTTAATCAAAATAAGAACCAAACGTTACAGCACCGGCAGCTTCGAGGAAGCATACCCTATCTGAGTATCTGAGTACTAAGTCAAGAAAGAACTATAGTAATAGCCTTAGAGCAAGCAATAAAAACTTCATTTGATTAAAGTCATTATCAATTCCTTGTAGAATAAACAGCATCCAGCAGCAAAACTAATGAACTTCTAGCAGATTGAATTAGATCTATACAAATTTTGTCAAAACTCAAGCTGGAAAAGGACACTCTTCTTCCAAATTATCGCTATCCAACAAGCCCCACAAGCCCCCTTTCAACAGTTCTTATTTACATGCAGCTACCTAAACTAACCATAGCATCAACTCTAAGCAATAATTGGGAAACAGACATCAAAGTTCAAAAGGGGAAAAGCACAATTACCAGTAGAACAAGAAATGGAATGGAAAATAGACAGAAAGAAAGCAGAAGAACAGCCAATCAGTTCAGAAGAACACGATTAGAACCCTCCATGAAACGAACAAAACAACCACAAGAATCAACAAACAATCAAGCCAATAAACACAGAAATTGAGCTAAGAAAAATTTCCAGCACCAACATCAACATGCATCACAAACGCATCATTCAGATAAAGAAAACGAACAAAAGCGGAGGAGGTAGAAGAAGAAGAAGCGGAGAAAACCTCGGGAGCAGTGAAACGGAAGGCAGGGCCTCCATTGCTGGGAGGCCGACCCATAAGCTAAGCTTCCCTGTGTGGTTTCACTGATTTCGCCGTCACTATCAAAGAATCAAAGAGAGAAACTGAAAAAAAGTACCAAGAAAAAAATCAGAATTGAAGATCCCGTCTTCAGAAATTCGTTATTTCGGGAAAACTTTGAGCGACTATATAAATAAATGTGCATCGATACATATATATATATATATATACATATATGGTGATGATGATAGAGAGAGAAATTGAAGCTTTAAGCCCAAAATTCATGGTTTTGGGGGGCAAAACAAAATGCCCAGGTGATTCCGTACCAAATATCAAAATTGTGTACCTCAAAAAAGAACTAAAACCCAAATCTCTGCATATTCTTATTTAGGTTTTAGCATTTAGATTGGTTCTTCATGTTTCAAACTCTCACCCTCATCGATCCATTTTAACTTCTATATTTTCAATTATTGTTTTTATTTTTTGGGTCTTTGACTTTACAAAAATAAAAAATTCACGATTGATCTGTCGTTGTTCATCGGCTTCGACTATGAATTTTATAGGATTTTCTTTTGTCGTAAAAGAGTTCTCCGATTTTTCTTTTCATTGTGAGGACATATAACTGTAATAACGGCTTGATATTTTGGAACATTTGTGTTATTATTACGTAAACGTCTGTCGTTTTAGGTATTTGGAGATTTGTCTGTGAACGTTTTACCCTGGATTAGATTTCATCCGTTTAACTAACTGAAGACTACACTTGGAAAGTCGGCGATTTGTCTTCATTGTCGAAATAGATTTAGATATTATTTAAGAACATAATAATAATATTGTTACCATCAGCAATTTGTATTCATCGTCGAAATAGTTTTAGATATCATTTAAGAACATAATAATAATAATAATAATATTACGGTTACGGTCAATAATTTGTGTTCATCGTCGAAATAATTTTAGAAATCATTTAAGAACGTAGTAATAATAATAATATTAGTTTTAGATATAGTTGAAGAAAATAATAATAATATGGATAATTGTTTTTTTTTAGTTTAAAATTTTATTTTATAAAAACGTTTATAAAGATAATTTAAAAAAAGGGGGGGAATTAACAAAATTTGGAAAGAAAAACGTATGGGATAAAAGGGGAACATGCGAAGGGCGTGAGTGCAATTTTCAGTTACAAAGTGGGAGGTGCTGAAAATTAGAGAGAATCGGTGGGCGCCGTGAGCAGTTTTTTCTTCACGGGTTTACTAAATACGCACACCACTAGTTTTTTTTTTTTTTTTTTTTTTTTTTTAAAAA